ATGAAATCTCGGGCCCTGANCAAATCTTCATATATCAATTTTTGTGAGGGGATCATTATCAAATGAATTACGAGTAAGATTGCGTAAAACCTACACGTGACTCACACAAAAGATATTGTTATAAAGATACTTATCATGAATAAAACAGTAATATCAGAACTTGATAATTTTGACTAACATTGCAAGTTCAAAGATATTGAGCGTTCTTTTTGCATTATGGGTGATCAATCATCATGTTTAGATTGATGTTGAAGCAATATATATGTGTAGTGTCACACATATAGATAATTTCTTACATATATACAATCACAACTTATAATTATCCTCGACTAACTACATTTCACATTTGTATAGACAAGGTTAGTTAGTGTATTGTGGAGATATGTCCTATTGCCCTCTACTTAATCTCCATATGTAATGATGATGACGATGTAACTTTACAAAATACGTGCGAAGTGATACTTTACCTAATGATTCTACATTTTACTTCTGCTTGTTACGTAATATTTAAAAAAAAAATAAAAAAAAAATAAAAAAACACCACTTGTTGACAAATTTACAAACATGTTATTATAAAGAGCTAAACTAACAAATCACATCCTACATGTTACATAATATAACATTTTGCATTCTATTTTTTCTAATTAGTGATTTTTCATTAATTTTTTTTCTTTATGTGATTCTTTTTTTTTTTTTTTGTATAAGATTTATTATCTTTTTTTTCCTCCTAAACTCTAACATCAAATCAATAAAAATAATTTTAATAAATTAATAAAATATTGAAAAGAAATAGAAAAACTTCATTTGATTCTCCCGACATTGTAAAAAATAAAAAAATAAAAAAAAATCTCAATCACTATCTTATAATTAAAAAAAAGAAAAAAACAAAACCTCAACTAATAAAAGTTAAAAACAATAAACTAAAATGATTCTTGATATTAGTTGTTATTTTGTAGCAAAAAATCGTTTTCTTAATCATTTTAAAATGGGTAATTTTGCAACTTGAAACATTATTAATAGGACATTCATATTGGTATCTATTTTGGGCAATAAAGCTTCATAGAAGAGAAGAATGTATAAAAATAATTAATGAAATATATAATTTTGTGTAAAATAAAAATTGAAAAAATTCATATCAATGATGTAGCTAGAGTACTCGATTTAATGTTACTTTATGGAGGGATGGATGATTGAGAAAGGAAAAAAAATTAAACGAAAATGAGAGAGTAATTGAATATATGGAGAATAAAAAATAGTTAAAAAAATTATGCAAAGTTTTACGTAATTCAATGCAAATAGTGTGATCGTTATTTTTATTTATGAACATTTTGGTCTATTTAACTATTTTTAGTCAAAAATTAAAATTAATATTATTTCTTGTTATCATATGGTAAAATGTAGTATCCAAAGTGTAAGTTTAGAAAATAAAGTGTTTAAAGTGTAAATAAACCCTATAAAGAAGGCATATTTTTAAAATTTCCTAATAATAATATTAAACTACGAGTAAGTTAATATAGAAAATGGTGGTTCACATATAAGCCTTGTTTGAACCCAATTTTGGAGGAAAAAATGAATTTTTGAATAGTGTATTCATGGAAAATGTGTTAAAAAATAAGAAATTTTTTTAAATTTACGCATAATATTATTTTATTGAAGAATATGTGGTTAAAATGATGTTAAAATATTGTACAGGAATGCATTTTTTTCCCTAAATAATGAAACTCAAACAAGCTAATATTTGATACTTTTTGAGGTAGGATCTTAATCCACCAAACTTGTATAACTACTAAATTACCATGTTTACTTATAAGTAAATAAATACTTTTAAAACAAAAAAACTTTTAGTTGATAAAAGTTGATTATTTTTTTGAAAGTAACACTCATATATCTGATGGAAAAAAACACATGAAAGTATAAGAAAAAACTTAACTCGCTTTGATAGTGAAAGATTCTTTTCTAGCAAGTCAACTAGATCAAAGTGTTATGACAAATAATCGGATCGAGGTAGAATTTCATCTAACTATTGATTTATTAAACTGACAAAGGCGATTATTCGGGACCCCAGTTTTTCCATGATCAAAGGAAAAATAGAGTGAGCATAGATTGACTTGTAGTAATCAAACTGGAACTGATTCGACCCTTTTTTCTCCAAGAGGCAAGGAATAACGCGAATTGACATTACTAAGGTTGAAAATAAATAGGCTTGATTCTCAATAAAAAGACATGGCTTGGTTAAAGGTCAGTACGCAGATGCATTTTGGTTAAAGGGTATGCAAAAAAGTAATGTGTTCTAGATTTTTACTTATATTCTTTGTTTCCACATGCTAACACTTCAAGTATGTCTCCATTTGTTTATTCTAATATTCTCTGATGGATTCCAAGCAACATGCCTCACTTTCAATTAAATTATTTTCAGATTTTGCGTATTTACTTTGAATATAATGTATGATTTGATCACTCCATACAACAATAATTTTTGTTTTCAAGTTATTATTTTTTAATTTCTTGTTTTTGAGTTAATATTTTTGTTAAAAAAAAAATGAAGAAGTTAAAATTGAATATAATAATCAAACTATACTTAGAAGATGGGAATATTAGCGTACGAATTACATAAACTAAGCCAAGTAGCTATTGAATGTGTATGCTTTGTCGAAATTGTGTGACACATAACTCAATCTGTTGACATGAATAAGTCTATGTGTTTAGTTAGTCGTGTAGAAATGAAGCTAGTCACATAGAACATTTCTTGAGGGATGAACAAGAATAATTGACTCTACCACATGAAATAAACTTCCATTTCATTTACAAATTATTGTACTTTATTTTGAGTTGAGACTTGTTGTTCCAAATAGACGTTTCTTATTGTCTCACCATTCAGATTTTGACACATTGCTGCATCTCCTTTGAATAACAAATAGCAATAGTGTGCTCTATTTTTCTATTTCAAAGTGAAGTGTCAAATTTTGAGCGACAAATTATGACGGTCAAGGAAATAAACAATTGTGGACAGCACATCCCAACTAATTTTTTTCTATATCGAGTTTTACTGACGTTGGTTAATTATTACATTACTACATTGGCCCCTGCAAATATGCAAGACCTAAAGTCTAAAGTGTCATATATGTTAAATAAATAAAAATATAAGAGAAAGATTACATAATAGATATGTTCGGTAATTTTATTGGAGACACAAATAGATCAAATCACAAAGCAAATTATGATAATAAGCTAAAATGGTTATAATAATTGATTATCACTTTATCCACAATTCATAATTGTTAATGATTGTGGTCTCTTTCATGATGGATAAACACAGCTAAATTACACTCAAATATGAGTGCGTTTTCTCTGTAGCTAGGATCTGATGTGACTTCTTTTCCATTTTAAGCTAGAAAAAATATATGGCTCAAAATTATTTTTTATGATCTCCCTATAACCAACCAGTTTATTTATATGAATTTACATGAATTATATATAAATTTCAATAATTAATGCTTTTGTCGTATGAAAAATAAGCTTGAAATTGAAACCAAAATTTTATAAGCAATTTACATTACAAAATTCTTACAAGTACAATACAAGTTCTCTCCTTAAATTTTGAACTGGATTGAGATTTTTCTTCTTTTCCTTACAGCTTCATTTTGTGCTTAAGCAAAGGCAAGTAATTTATCACTGTTATATTCTTTTCTTCTTTTATTTATTTAAAGAATGCCTTATTAATTAGTGCTAGAAGTTTCGACAGAAGCAAGCAAGACGAGGGATCTCTCCTTCATAGACAGAGCTTGTTCTATACTTTGATATACTAGCTCGTTTTCTTCTTTTATTATCAAATAGTAATTTATTATTATTTTTTTAATATTAGTTTGAGTGAACAATATTTTTAGAGATATTTGATACTTTAAATGAGATAAAATTAGACAAAATTAAAAAAAGAAAAATTAATAGATAATTTCATTAGTGCAACCTACAGTCTTTACTCATTTCTCAAGGGAAGGATTCTGGGCATTGTCCAAATGTTTTGGACATTTTTCATCATATTATGAATAGTAAATATTTTCACCTTCAGTTACTTAAAAAAGTTACCAATTTCCTCTCTATATATTATGATAAATAACAAATATAGACAATTTCAAGTTCATTGGCCCCGCCATGACCATATGGACTAAGAGATTATATCTTTTTACTTACCCTAAAAGGAATAATTTGAACTCAAATGAAGCTCATTTCATCCCAAATTAACCAAAAGCTATTTTATAATTACATAATTAAGTTGCAATCACATAAAATCACGCCATAATAAAGAATAAATCCTCACTAACTGATATTAATCAATAAGCGAGACACAAATCCAAGTCGACTCTAGAAAAAAGAAAGAAAGAGAGGATGCTTTGTAAACAGTATTAAAACAAACAAGAATTTTGTCTTTTTTCCCCTTAATGATATGCAATACTTGTTGAACAAGATTTGAATGAATACACAGAGCTCCTTTTTAGTGGCTAAATTTTTGCATGACATGGCTAACGCGATACAATATCATCAACAAACTACGAATATAAAATTCATGTTTTGTTGGCATCCATTTTGAAAAATTGTGTGCGAGTCGAACTTTGACTAAACAAAATAAACATAGCTTACACATAGAGGGACACAACGAAAACAAGATTGAAATGAATATATATGCATTAATTACCCTTTAAACCCCAACTCACCCCACACATATCAGACTTTGATTGAAAAAATTAAACATGATTTATCCATAAAACGACACGTTGAAAATAAGATTTAAATATATATACGTAACTCCACACATATCAGACTTTGATTGAAAAAAATTATACATGATTTATCTGTAAAACGACACGTTGAAAATAAGATTTAAATGTAAATACGTATGTGACCTTCTTTAAACCCTCACCCCCACCCCCACACCCACACCCACACCCACACCCACACATACATGACACATCTTTACTCTCTATAAATACATATTTCTTCTCTCCAATTGTCGAGTCCAAATAAGACGACTTTCTCCTCATATCTATTTTCTCTTGCTGTTTAGGTACTACAATAAAATGAGAACTAGTGGCACCTTACAAACTACTCCATCATCATTGACAACACCACCACCAAACCCACAATTTTCTCCACGGGCTGAATCCACTGTACGGCGCTCTCCGGTACCCTACCTATTCGGCGGGCTTGCTGCCATGCTGGGACTAATAGCCTTGGCACTCTTAATCTTGGCTTGCTCCTACTGGAAGCTTTCTGGCCGGATGAACACTGGAGAGGGACAACGTGGTGACAGAGATGTAGAGGCTGGTGATGAGAAAAATGGCAGCGCCGCCGTCAAAAGACCTCTGCCGGTTTTTGAAGAGAAGATAGTGGTGATAATGGCTGGTGACTTGAAGCCAACTTTCTTGGCCACCCCCATGTCTAGGGATTCTTCATTTGGAGATGGGAATATTGGAAAGAGTGATCAGATTGAAGAGAAAGAGGATCAGAAGCCAAGCAATGAAATCACTGATCATTTTGATCAAAGAATAACAGAAAATACGGATCAACAGATGAATAGAGAGGTTCAAGAAATTACCCAACCGGAACCGGGACAAGAACTAAACCAGTGATCTTTAGTTCTTTCTTATTCTTCTTTTCTTTTTCTTTTTTTTTTTCTTTTTTTTCCCCCTACATAATTTCCAATTTTGTGATCCGGGACTGTGTAAATTTTTCATCAAATTACACTTCAACAGTTCTTCCCGTCTCAAAGTTTATGTTTTCAAAGGCTAGATAAAAATTATATTCAACAATTAATATATTTGTGACATGCGATGTATAATTTAATGATGCAAACACGATTATTTGTTATTTATTTATTTATTTTTAATATCGAAATGATGAGAAAAATAACTAGTTCAACAGAATTGTGTTAAATCCATCTTATTATCTTAACAAAGTTGAAAATTAATATATATCTCAACCATTTCCAAGTTGGGACGGATTATGCAACAATGAAAATATGATACCCAATTTGCTTAATTCTAAAATAAGAGGATTAATTTGATACAAGGATAATAAATTGGAGACCAGCAGTGATATTTCTCCAAACACTAATATATGATAAAAGTACATATTCTTCAGTTAATGAAATTTCATAAGTACAGAAAGCTCCAATAGATACACTACATTTCTTAGCAAGTGGTGTTGTATGGTTGTTCAAAAATCAATAAAAGAATGTAGAATGAAAAAATTGAACTGGGGGTTGAAAATTGGCCTATGCGGTCAAAAATGGAATTGGAGGTTGAAAATTGGCCTATGCGACCTCATAGGCCAAAAGGACTTGCAATCGCATGTTGATTTGCAGAGAATTAAGGTCATGCCATTGAACTAACTATGTTGTCGCATAGGTTTGCTCTGGTGTCTTTTGGATGTTTTTGTAACCATTTCATTTAATGTTGATTGACACTTATAAATAGGTGTTGAATGATCAATAATAAATACATTGGAGTCATTTGAGAAAACATTGTATTCCACAAAAGATAAAAATATCCTTCTATCATATTCAAAAATTCCTGATTTTGTATTATCAAGGTTTTGAAGGATTTCGCTATTGCTTAAGTGTTAAATCCTTCTCAAGACTTGATAAATTCTGCAAACCTTGTGCCTATAATCCCTTTAAACATCAAGTTTAATTCATGAGGGGGAAAATATCGTTTGAAGACAAAGATCACGTGTTCGAGCCTTCATTTTCAATTTCATCTTCCTATTTTGATTCTCTATTTTTTTCTCCATTCCCTTTTGTGAAGTTCTATTTTCCAACAATCTCAAATGATATTCCTGCAATGGAGAATGAAACCACTATGACGATGATCTAGTTGATGAATCAAGTCCTCGTTCGTTTGGACTATTTTGATGGCACACACTTCACTAGATGGTAAGACAAATTGATGTTCCTTTTAACGGCGTTGAAGATATACTACATCCTTGATCCGAATTTGGCATCATTACCGGAGCCAACAAATGGAGAAATTGATGCCATAAAAGTTAAAAGACAAAAATGTCAAGAGGATGAATTGATTTGCCTCAATTATATACTCAATGTATAATCCGACAGCTTGTATGATCTTTACACTAACACGTCTTCGATAAAAAAAATATGGAATGTTTTGAAAAGTAAGTACAAATCCGAAGAAGAAGGTACTAAGAAAATCTTAATTTCAAAATATTTAGTTTTTAAATTTCTTGATTATATTCCCCTTTATCCCCAAGTGCATGAATTACAAGTTCTTGTTAACAAGTTGAATGTGGTCAAAATTGAGATCTCGGAAACTTTTCAAATGAGAGCAATTATTGCAAAACTCTCGGGGACTTGGAAAGGATATCGGAAGAAAATCATGCATAGTTCTGAACATTACTCTTTGGAATAATTGCAAAAGCATCTATGCGTTAAGGAAGAGTCAAGAGTGAGAGATAAGAATGACAATTCTTATGAAGGCACTTTTAAAGCCAATGTTGCAGAGAAGATCGAACATTCTAAAAAAATCCAAAAAGAGACAGCTTTCAAGAAACTTTAATAAGTCTAAGAAGAAGTCCAAAAGTGGTTGTTTTGAATGTGAGAAACCTGGACATTATGCAAAGAAATGTCAACACCGAAAAAATAACTCCAAAGAAAAGATGAACTCCATCAAAGAAGACAATATTGTCGCCACCATAAGCGAGATTAATGCTATCAAAGAAAAAGTTCCTCAATAGTGATATGATACATGTGCAACTCATATAACAAGTCTTTGTTCAAGACATGTTATGAAGTGGATGGAGATCAATAGATAAAAATGGGTAACAAAATTCAATCAAAAGTGATTGAAAAAGGAAATGTAGAGATCATCTTTATTTTCGATAAGACTGTCACTTTGACAAATGTGCTATATTTTCCCGAGATGAATATTAGGAACTTAGTTTGCCTTAATCTCTTAGGAATATCGAGCATAAAAACTGTTTATGAGTCTAGTAAAGTTGTACTATCTCTAAATATGAAATTTGTTGGAAATGGGTATTCTTGTGAAGGAATGGTCAAATTATATACCGTTGACAAGATGATTAATAATAAAGTTGATTTTGATTATATTATTAATTCATTTATTTTATGGCGTGTTAGATTAGGTCATATAGGTAATTACTATGGAAGGAATGTTAAAATATAATTTAATATTATCCAATGAAAATGATGTATTTAGATGTAAAACATGTGCATAATCTAAGATCATTAAAAGTCTTATCCAAGTGTTAAAGGGATTTCTAGTATCTTAGAAGTAATTTACATGGATATATGTCAATTAAATGACATATTAACTAGAGGTAGAAATAAGTATTTCATTACCTTTGTAGATGATTATTCTAGATATACATATGTTTACTTGATGAAATATAAATATGAAGCGTTTCATATATTTAAAACATATAAGAATGAAATTGAAAATCACTTAAGTAAGAAAAATAAAAATTTTAAGAAGTAATAGAGGAGACGAATATTTTTCTAATGATTTTAACTTATTTTATGAACAAAAATATATAATTCATCAATATTTTGCACCTAGGACACTCGAACAAAATGACTTGTCTAAAAGAAAAAATAGGACTTTAGTTGAAATGATAAGTGACATGTTAACCTATGCTAAATTATCATTTAATTTGTGAGGTGAAATATTGTTGAACATTGGATACTTTAAAGTGTGGACGTGTTTTATTGTAAGAACACAAACCCTAATAGGACACATTGCGTCCAAGAGGCATTAAACATGCCTTTGTTGGCTATGCGAGCAATAACAAATCGTATGTAGACTATTAAATTTAGAGATCAATGTGATTATTGAATCTAATGTTGTAGAGTTCTTTGAGAATTCACTATCTTCGGATAATTAATTAAAAGAAACTCTTAAAGAGATCTCAAACTTTAGTGGGACACAAGATGAAACATCATCTAAAGATATTGATAAAACTAGTGAACGTCGAAGAAGCAAAAGAACTCCAATTGAGAAGTCTTTAGAACGGGATGAAATTAACTCTCAACTTATTTCCTTTTTTATAGTAGAGAGAAGTGAGAAGAATGTTATGAGAACAATTTTTTTTATTCTACAAGCGAAAACTAATCTCAAAACTCATAGAGAGGCTATGGCTTCTCATGATAGTATCTTTTGGAAAGAAACAATAAAAGATGAAATGGATTCGATTATGTCAAACGATACATGTGAGCTTGTCTATTTACCACCCAGATCCAAACATATTGGATGTAAATAGGTGTTTGGAGAAAATATAATATTGATGGCTCTCTTAATACCTTTAGAGCTAGATTAGTAGCCAAACGTTATCAACAAAAGAAAGGAATAAACTATTTTAATACTTATGCACTAGTAGCTAGAATAATACCAATTAGGATATTATTCGCTTTAATTCTCATACACGACTTGCATGTTTATCAAATGGATGTCAAGACAACATTCTTGAATGTGGATTCTTGAATAGGGATCTCGATGATGATGATGTTTATATGGAAGACCTCGAAGGATTTGCTCTATTTGGAAATAAATATAAGGTGTGTAATTTAGTGAAATCGTTATACGATCTAAAGCAAGCACCTAAGAAATGGAATGAAAAATTTGACTTAATTATCCTATCATTAAATTTCAAACATAATAGTGTAAATGAATGTTTATATTCTAAATTATGTGATAATCATGTTACATTATTTGTTTATATGTTGATGACATGTTGATTATAAGTAATCACATGAATGGAATAGAAGAAACGAAGAGGTTTCTATCTTTCACATTCAAGATGAAGGCCTTGTTCAAATGGATACCATTTTGGGTATCAAAGTTACTAAAACTAGAGGGGGTTACAATTTTAGTCAATCACATTCTATCGAGAATGTGATAAATAAATTCAAATATTTGAACACAAAAGAATTTAGTACTTTATTGATCTAAGTTCAAAACTTATGAAGAATGATGGAAGAGCAGATGCTCAATTGGAGTACGCAAGTGTTATAAGAAGCATAATGGTATGCAGTTCAATGCACAACACTGGACATAGCATTTACAATTAATAAACTTAATAGGTTTACTAGTAATCCAAGCAATGACCATTGGAAGGTCGTCGGAAAAGCTCCTGGCTATTTAAAGAAAATAAAAAACTTAGGTCTACGAGATACTAAATTTTCGACTATTTTAGAAGGATTAATCAATGTTATCTGGATATCTAGCATGGACGAAATTAAATCTACTTTAGGTTAGGTGATTACTTTTGGAGTATGAGCTGTTTCTTGGAAATCAAAGAAACAAACATGTATAATACTCTCAACTATGAAATTTGAATTTGTAGCATCATCGAAAATCTGGAAAGAAGTCGAGTGGCTTAAGGATCTACTCTATGAGATACCTTTGTGATCGAAAAATACATCTTCAATGCTTATCATATGTGATAGTCAAGTCACGAGATATACAACGAAAACTCTAGACATATAAGTCTTAGACATGACTACATAAGAAAATTAATCACGGACTGACTAATTTTCCTAAATTATGTTAGGTCAATCGAAAACTTAACGGATCCTTTAACAAATCTCTAGAAAGAGATTTAGTAGCATCTACTTTGAGTAGTATATGGTTGAAACCCTTGAATGAAAAGTTCCACTAATAATGGCAACCCTACTTGTCATTACTTAAAAAGTAATCGACGGGATCAAAGGGTAACAACAAGTCATCGATATGTGAATAGTCTCATCATTATAAATCCACAATAACCCTATTATAATTAAATAAT